TCAATAAGCGACATGAAGTAAACAAGGTAAGCCGCGGTCGAAGAAGAGATAGTATGAACAAATACCAGTAGTAATTTCTTCAAACCAGTCAAATCCAAAACGGTAGATTCTTTTTAATATATTAGTTCTTCTTGTGAGCAATTTGTCTGGAAAATGGCAATAAAAAAGTATCTGAGAAGAGAAAATCAGCTATCATCTTCAGCTTTTCCAAATCACTCCCTCGCCTTCATTCGCTAGTTCATTTCGCTCTTTTTTCGTTGCTGTCGCCGGCCCTTAAGATGAACATTGCCCGCCCCATTGAACCCTCGCTATTTGACGTAAATGGCCGGAGATATGACAAACCTTTGCCCCAGTCAGCCTTAAAACCGGCAAGCCAGCACTTATTTGGTCGACGATAATCAAGTCATATTTCCATCGTCCCAACAACGTATTCCATAGAATTACGAAACAAAGATAATAATTCCTTATTATTGCAAAAAATATATGGAAGTAATTGAATATAGTGGTGGGAAGAAAATCCCCGTAAGTAGCTACTGACAAGGTTCCTGTGGAAGTCGTCGTTTGTCAGTCTTGAGACCACGGCGAGTATTAAGTAAGTTCAAAAGTATCACCACCATCTCTGGTTTCAACAAAGCAATGGGTTGTATCATGATGAGATGTAAAAACAGTAACTTTGTGCCCTCGATTTTGTAATCCTACGGCAGCGTCCACAATTAGCCTTTCCGCTCCTCCTGGTGATGTCGTAAGCATATGACGTTCCATATAAGATCATAATGTTTAAAGACGATTCACAGTGTGGCCATACAATGGTTAGTCGATCGAACAAGGGTACAGATGGACACATTATTGTTGTTTGAGTTGGTAGAAAACAAAACGGTTAATTAGAAGCGTCCAAGAGGACGTCAAGGAGAGGAATGTCAATTAGATGAAACCATAACGGACAGACAGTACACAAAAGAAGAACCGAACCTATGCCAAGGTCAGGATGTACAAAAGCTATGTTGAGTGTCGGCGGAGCTGATGATGGCATATTGAAGAGCAAATGATTTAGGAAGGTTTCACGAATCACGAACAACCAGGTAATAAAAATACATGAATAAATGGATATATAATAATTTATTGTTTACATTCATCATTAGTTTATGGTTGAACAATATTACAGTTATGAAACGATATTAACGTATGATGTAATTTTTTTTTGTTATATATTTACAACCCCGTCGTCTGGACGAGTAAAGTCCACCTAAAATTATTCACAACTAGTTGAAAATCCCAAGGCGGCAATATTACTATGTTTGGCGGGATTGAAGGCGACATCAAATTGTCCAGAGCATCGTTCGTCATCCTTACCTGGACACAGCCACATCCTATTCTGAAAGTCCACGTAGATTTCGGTTCCAAAATGCTCGAATCCAATGCCGGGCTAAATTGAGGGAAAGGTATCAGTAATCTTTGATCCCTAAGTTTTTTTATGAGAACGTCAACATACCACATGAACGATTGGGTCGTTTCCGTTAGTAACTCTGACGGTATTAATCAACGAATCATAATATTGAGCAAATGCTGCATTGCCGACTCTTGGCTGACTCAAGGTATAAGTAATGATTTGGTCTTTCTGTAAGTTGAAATTCTGTTGAAAATGTAAAGCTGCAATCCCCGCAAGAGCACCACCCAACGAGTGTCCTGTTGTGGCAATACTGGGCGGCTTCGTATTCGCAACTTGAGCTCGATTCCACATTGTCTGAACGACCGTGGTCAGGTTATCTTTCATTGATTCAAATGTTTGCCAAAATCCTCTATGTATAGCTGCATTCTCTGGTATGGCCGCTGATACCTGTGGAGCGGTATTATTGTATAGAGGTCTGTATGAAACGGTTGAGATCTTAGCATTGTATTGCCAATTTTGAAGGTTCGCGGTTCCTCGGAATGCCACGACAATTGTATTGCTCTCGGAGTGATATCGAACGTAAGATAATGCTCCAGTGCTTTTGTTTTCGACTATTTCAAATTGGTCTCCTGAGGACTGCAATCGTGGAAAGCAAGATGAGCATCCGAAAGTTTGCAATGTTTTCACGGAGCTGAAGAAAGTGATTGTTAATTCCAAGCGTTTAGTTTGTAGCACCTCCACACCAGCATTTGTGCGCCAATATAGGTCCAATCTGGACGAAGTTTAAATACGTACCAGTATGCACTTGCCGAATAATTACCAAACTCCCGCAATTTTTTTGTGAATTCTTTGTCTTCAGATACCTCCACTAACGGGGTTCTTGGTCCTAAATCTCCAAATATAAAGTCCAGAAACGACGGTGTGTTGAGAACTGAAATTGTCGATGGAGATAATGCAGGCCTTCCCTGTAAAGATTGGATGAAGCACGAGAAAAGAACGAAGCCGAGGAACAGTTTCATTTGAATTCACTGATGACGACTTCACAAAACCCCAATTAGCAACCGTCCAGGTCATATAGCAAGAGATTTATTGGAATCAATAATAAACAATTTAGGCTTTGTGGTCAAAGTCAACCTTTTCAGGCAATTCCATTTGTCGGATTTTCCGTGTTTTATGACATTGAGGCGCCAATGATGCTCGCTTGACAAAGGACAATGCCAGACAGGTCGTGTTCGCGATGGAAGCCCGAAACATTGGCGGCCTTAAGCCAAAAATTAATTGGGTTTTATTTTTCTAAAAGATGGTTCAACAACTTGTGTCACTATTGATGCTGGCTTCTGTAATGTTGACTGACCTTTGGGAGCGGCAATTTACTTTACAATCATACGACGTAAGTTGATGATTGTGTGACAAATTGAATTGAAATTTAGAATTGTGCTCACAATTCTCGGGATTTGGAAACGGAATCTAAGCGGGGGATATTATATCAAATAAAGATAGTCCGACATTGTGAATGATACTTTGTAATTACACAAAGCCTAGCTATTTTTGAGTCGTCGCCCGACCAAGATTAATAATCACCTTTATTTTGTGTTGAATACGCAGCGACTTGAAAAAGTGATTCGCACAATGTTAAACAAGGGCACAACAACAGAAAATGACATCTATTTCTTGATCACCAGAGTATGTCGATTAATCAAAGATATGTCAGTTATCATTCCCCGTAAGCAGTCTTATGACATCCGTAATTCCACCCGATTTATAATTTATTTACAAGTAGTGGAAAAGCCTAAAGCTGCTATATTACTATGTTTTCCAGGATTAAATGCCATATTAAATTGGCCGGAACATCTGTTGTCTTCCTTTTGAGGACACACCCACAGTTTATTTTGGAGGTCCGCGTAAATTTCAGTCCCGAAATGTTGAAATCCTCTTGCCGGCTGTATTATTAAACATATTGAAGCTTAACAAAATTGTTTTACATCAGAATTGAAATAACACTGTACGTACCGCATGAACGATAGGGTCATTCCCATTTGTTACCCTAATAGTAGTAATAAGCGAATCATAATAATCTACAAATGCCGCATTACCAACTCTGGGTTGGCTAAACGTGTATGTTACAATTTGGTCTTTCTGCAAATTTAAACTCTGTTGAAAGTGCAAGGCAGCTAGTGCCGCCATTGCTCCTCCTAATGAATGTCCGGTAGTAGCGATACTCAGCGGCAGTAGATTGCCTGATTGGGCTGCCTGGGTCCACATTCCTTGCACTACCGAAGTCAAATTATCTTTCATAGAATCAAAAGTTTGCCAGAAACCTCGATGTATAGCAGCGTCGTCGGGTATAAAATTGTAGACTTGGGCGTCCATGTTGGTGAATAGAGATTTATAAGTTACAGTGGATATTTTGGCGTTGTTTTGCCAATTTTGCATATTTTCTGTCCCCCTAAAGGCAACCACAATTGTGTTGCTTTCATAATGGTATCGTACGTATGACAAGGCTCCCATAGTTTTGTTCTCGATGATTTGAAATTGATCAACTTCGGGCTGTAGTCTTGGAACGCAATTGTTACAATTGAAGTCTTGCAGTTTTCGGACAGTACTAATTTCAGAACCCAAACATTGTTTGAATATAGTGTTAACTGTTATTAGCATCAAGTGTATTGAACGATATCCCACTGTACTTACCAGTACGAGCTAGCCGCGTAGTTTCCGAATTCTTTCAGCCTAGCAGTTAGTTCGCTGTCTCCAGTAACCTGAAGTAATGAATTATTCTGCTCTGTACCGCCTATCAGGGGAAAGAGGAATGCCGGAACGAAAGGTTGTGGTGCCGGTGCCGGCCTTGCATATATAATTTGGAAGAGGAAGATGACAGAAATTATCAGCGGGACCAATATTTTCATTTCAAAAACCTTCAAGCAACTTGCGAAACTTGCGAACTACTATATATAATGTTTCACTGAGAAGCTATTGCGCATTATTGTCAACTCCACTCTCGTTAAGATGTCCATTCAACTTGCGTGAGCACTAATTTCACTCGTCCATACCCGAAGAGACCCAAGCCGATGCCAGCCAACTTAGGAAGATGGAAATAATTCAAGGTATTTCGGGTAAAATTCGGCGACAATTATGTTTTTGGGATGTTAACGAGGCTTCTACTTCGATTTAATCGGGAAGAGGTTTTCCTGAATTTCTTATGACAGCGTGATAAGGCGGTTCTTCACAACCCACATTACGCGCTGAATTTCTGCATAATAGCGAGTGTGGCACTGTTGAAACGAATGAAAATGAGCCCTTCATACTAAAAGCCAAACATGCTGTTTATCAGAAGGGCTAGCGAAAAAAATGTACGTGAAACTTCTCCTTTTCTTCCGATATCTTTCGGCTATCCGAGATCGCTCAACATTTTCTATCATAAAGATTTCTTAGTGTCCAGTTCATTCGGCTGAGACGAATAAATTTACTTCGTCGGCCACACAAGCAAAGTTAGAGTGAGAGTTGTTAAATATCGTTTTCATAAATCTGGAGCTGGTTTTCACTGATTTAGACGTGAAAATAATCAATTAATTATTTGCAAATAATTACTAACATCTATTTGCCCAATCCTTTCACCTCCGTTATGGTCTAGTGGCTAGGATTCCGCGCTTTCAAAGCAAAGCTCCGCGGCGGCCGGGGTTCGATTCCCCGTAACGGAATATACGTTTTTACTCTTTGATATCTAAGTCAATATTTTGAATTACTAGTGGAAATTTATTGCAAACCTTTTATCACCCTCTACAATAATTCCGCGAATAATGATGAACACTTTCAATGCCGGAGCGACTGTAGTTACCCTCGAACTTCAGAACCTGAAGTATTTTTCAACCGACTGAACTGGTTGAAACATCAAGTTCCATTTTTCAATCGTCCATTAGTTAAGCTATCAAAATCATACAGCGGAACTATTTGGATTTGGCGAGTACATGTAGAAAGAAATGTTTCGCCTGTTCATCTTTCCGGCACAGTCAACAACTTCTATCTCGTCACACATTGGACCCAGGCATTAGGTTTACTCAAGCCACAGTCAGCATGTCTATTATCTGCTTTTCAAAACGATATTGTCCTATCTACGAGTGCATCCTTGTCACACCAGGCTTGCTTTGGACTCAAATGAAACCTTATCTATCCGCGCCGCGTTAATGTATCAGAATTACTGATTAACGAAGTCTGGTTTATTGAGTCTTTTGAAGTGGGTTTATTGGTTGACTGTGAATGCAACTATATATAGAGTTTATATCTTCCATGGAAAACCAGAACTGTGTTCTTTACCACTTCTACAACCATTCTTCCTCACAACTTGTACTAAACCTTAGAAACCACCAAAATGAGTATGTAGTCCTGTTTGATATTCACTGATCAATGAATATTTGAAATTAATATACTTTTGCTGCTTTAATTAGCTTACGGATACGACAACAAAAACGAATACGGCTACGGCCACGATGACAAGAAGGATTACGGTTATGAAGACTCCAAGGACTACGGATACGACAACAAAGACTATGGCTATGATGACAAGAAAGACTACGGTTACGAAGACTCCAAGGACTATGGCTATGACAACAAAGATTATGGCTATGACGACAAGAAAGACTACGGCTACGAAGACTCCAAAGACTATGGCTATGACAACAAAGATTACGGCTATGATGACAAGAAAGACTACGGATACGAAGACTCCAAGGACTATGGCTATGACAACAAAGATTACGGCTATGATGACGAGAAGGATTATGGCTACGAAGACTCCAAGGATTATGGCTATGACAACAAAGACTACGGATACGATAACAAAGATTACGGTTATGACAACAAGGATTACGGTTATGACAACAAAGACTATGGTTATGATGACAAGAAAGACTACGGTTACGAAGACTCCAAGGACTATGGTTATGACAACAAAGACTATGGATACGACAACAAAGACTACGGATACGATAACAAGGACTATGGTTACGACAACAAAGACTATGGTTATGACAACAAAGACTACGGATACGATAACAAGGATTACGGTTATGACTCCAAGGACTACGGTTATGACAACAAGGACTATGGTTATGACAACAAGGATTACGGCTACGACTCCAAGGACTATGGTTACGACTCCAAAGACTACGGTTATGACAACAAGGACTATGGTTACGACTCCAAAGACTATGGTTACGACTCCAAAGACTATGGTTATGACAACAAAGACTACGGTTACGACTCCAAAGACTACGGCTACGACAACAAGGACTATGGTTACGACAACAAAGACTATGGTTATGACAACAAAGACTACGGATACGATAACAAAGACTACGGCTACGACAACAAGGACTACGGTTATGACAACAAGGACTATGGTTATGACAACAAGGATTACGGCTACGACTCCAAGGACTATGGTTATGACAACAAGGACTACGGTTATGACAACAAGGACTACGGATACGATAACAAGGATTACGGTTACGACAACAAGGATTACGGTTATGATGATAACAAAGATTATGGCTATGGTTATGATGACAACAAAGACTATGGTTATGATTATAGCCACGATGATTGCAAGGATTATTCCTATGGTAAGTATTCTTGCTGGATCTGTTTAATTTTGCCTTTCTTACTAAAATCCTTCCTTTACTGTAGAACACCAAGATTACAACGACTACAGCCACAGCTATGACTACAGTCACAGCTATGATTATGGAAGCTATGGATGCTATTAGATTAGCTAGTCTAACTAGATCCTTGCTGTTAGATCCCAAAGCAGAGAAGTTAAAATGTTCAAGATCGCATAAATTTTGGTGGTTTGGAATACAGGCTTGTTAGAGGTCGAATAAAATCTTGCTTTTTGGGAAACATCTCTGTCTTGCAACTTTCGCACTATATTCTCGCTTTCCATACTCCAGATTTTTGTTTAGGTCTCAAAGGTATCTTGTGTATTAAAAGTTTCCAGTTTACGAAGGGGTGACTTCATTGTCATCCGCGGAACGTTTGACTTACACTTCAGCGCCCCGAAAATGCGATCACAATTAAGACTTTATTTTGATTCTGAAAACTTACACCATTATGTAAATTTGGAAAATGAGGTTCGCTTGAGGTCGGAAATCTCATGAAAGCATTACAATAAACTAGTTAAATGAATCCTTTGGCATTTCTCATATCCTTTACAGTCCAGTGGCTTGGATTCCGCGCTTTCATGCTATCGTCCTTTGAAAGCATCGCAGCGGCCGCGGGAAATGTATCGTAAAAAATTGCCAGACTGCCCTATCCACTTGTATTCGTTTGTTCAACTTCGCAGGGGCGTTAATAAACGTAGCAAAAAGTGATTTTGTTCTTCCAACTTATATAAAACATGGACATTAGTTATTAAAATCCAATTCAAAAGTGTTGTAATAATGGACCCATGATTTGATGCTCCTCGTCGCCAGTGTGAACTTGGTGAACGAGTGATCTTGCATTCATCGTCACTGATTTGCTTACCAAATGCATTTTCGACGAGAACTCTCTTCGCCACATCCAGGACACACAAATGTCGTTCCTTCGATCCATCATGACTCTAACCTTCGAAGTGCGATATATTCTCGCTCTCATATCATTGAAGTTTGAACCTGGACCGTGATCGAATCCCAGATGCCTCGGTTAGAATCTCATGCCGCCCCATTATTACCCTTTGTACGGAACAATCTTTTGTCTGTCCTTGCGGACCCGAAGCATTCGTCGATCCTAGGATACCTTCTTGTTCCTTGTGAGCCCAAGTCTGCCTGGCACCTTATTAAAAATGAGAGTGGACAAATCGGATGCGTAGTGTATTGGAGCGGAACGAAAGTTGTCTTTGACTTTGTTGCGAAGACTACCGAAAAATGGGCGAAGGAAATAGAGTGGACTTTTAAATGGATTCTAGGACAAGTTGGTACAGGTTTGTAGCTGTTTGGCATTCCTTTATTGCCCTCTGTAGTGCTCAGAATGGTTGTATATTGATTTCCCCCGGTTTGTTTACTGTTCTCACATTCTATCGACTGTCAACAGTTAGATTTTACGCATTGCCAAGTACGATATACTCTACGTTACAATGTCTCTGCAAGTATGATCATTATCAAAAGTCATATAATATGCTCTATCTACCTGCGTCCAAATCTCGGTCACTTTCTCTGGATTCGAAAATTGAACTGCCCAAGGGCTATTACCGAGGTGTTTTAACTGCCGACAACGTAGATGAGGTTAATATCTAATTATGTGATAGTTTATTATCAATTTATACTTAATGTGGCTGTTAATTTTTGTTATATCAGGTTTTAAGCACAGCAACCCTATCGTACGATCCCTCCTACATCCGTCAACTCATCACTTGCCCGCCATATCGTCACTTGCAGTCTGCCATCTTTTATACCCCTAATTCGCCCGATACAGTCTCAGACAACGCAGAGTCCACAGAAACTCAGTCTAAAGCAGTGCCAATTGCGTGGGCCCTAAGTCATGTTGATCTATCACTTGGATTAGTTTACACAAATCCTTCGCACCGAAGGTTAGGATTCGCCAGAGATTGCATTGTTTCAGTTATCAGCAAACAACTGGACTACTTTCGAAATGTGGCGGAGCAATTTCATTCGGAGGATCTAGATGCACAGAAGGAATGGGATCAATTGAAAGAAACACAACAGAGCTTACCAGGAAGATGCAAACGAGAAAACGGGTTAGAAGATAGGGGCATGTTTTGCTTCGTTGACGTCCACAACGAAAAGAGTCGCCAGTTGATGAAGAGCATAGGATTCGAAGTCATTGAAGGAATGGAGTATTTCTGGGGTTATACAACTGATGGACTTGTGACAAAGAATTTGAACGGAGACAATGGTAATCAAGACGGCTTGAACGGAGGATTAGTTGGATGAATTGGTTCATGTGTTAACATCCATCATTCAATTAGAAATTAATTAAATACAAATTACAATAGTATATTAGCGTCCTCTTCACTCTCGCTCTCTTCAGTCCCTGACTCCCTACATCCCAGTTTTCGTCTGAAGCAGGGACACGTGACGGGTAAGAATATACGACCTTAATTAAAATAACGGTATTTCGTTGTCTTGATAGCCTCGCAATTCACTTTCAATCGCACATTCATCAATTTCAAACTGCTATTTTTATACTTTATATAAACAACACATAACACACATTGCGGAATCCCATTATGGAACCTTCGGCACACACACTCAAAGTTAGAATTTCCAAAATACTCGCTGACGCTGACTTAGACAAAATATCAACCAAAATTGTTAGAAAGCAGCTGGAACAAGAATACAATGTCGATCTCACTTCAAGGAAAGGTGAAATAAAAGATATTGTAATGGATGTTTTGGACAACTTAGAATCAAATGAGCCGGAAACAAAGGAACAGTCGGTCGAAGTCAATGGTAGCGGGGATAAAGTCGATTACGACAGAATGTCCCCTGCTATATCGAACAGTTTAAATTGTAACTCAGGAGAAGTCAGGGAAAAGAGCAAACCTCATAATTCGATAAAGAAAGAAAGTACTCCTGTTGATGACCATGCTCTGGCATTGCAGATTCATATGGTCTGTTGTCGTTTTCACACTTTACGAAATTCAATGTTGTTCTCTTATTGAATAATGTAAACCTTTCTTAATTTGTTCCATAATCTTGGTACA